AAACAGATAGATAGATAGATAGATAGATAGATAGATAGACAGACAGATAGACAGATATATAGATATAGACAGACAGACAGATAGACAGACAGACAGACATATAGATTGATAGATAATCACTTTTTTGCTATGTATTTTAATCACTAATTAAAGAGTGCATATACTACATTACATATTTGGAAAAAACCCTAAACCTAAGTATTAAACTCCCACACTGTTTGTGCTATAGACAATGAATGATACCACAAATCATGCGGCTTATTGTGCAGAGGTGTGCTATTATTTTTTTGAAGAAATCAGACCTATGATTTACAACTGGCGGACAATATAACGGCTGAAAATCCCCTAGGCATACACTAAAAGATGGACCCAAGTCATATTTAGATAGATTTGAAAGTTTTGTAACAATATAGATAGATAGATAGATAGATAGATGGATGGATGGATGGATGGATGGATGGATGGATGGATACACATAATATACATAATACACATAAACATACAGATATACATAAACAGAGTGCTTTGAAGCGACGGATGAAACTGAAGTTGTCAGTGTGTGTGTAGTTTTAGTAGTAATGGTGAAAGTGAATGAGCAGTGCTGGGAAGGTTACAGATTACAAGTTACTCTATTTAAAATGTGATAAGTAGTGTAACTATTTCAATTACTTTATTAAAGTAATGTAACTGATTACATTTGATTACTTTTTCATTACTTTTCTATATTTCTAATGTTTTGAACTATTAATAATTGTGAAACATGTAAAGCGGGCCGGGTTAACCTTACAGTAGAACTCAACACCGATTACTGTCAGACTTTCAGAATCCTTCATCTCTTGAATTAAGATTATAATAATTGAATTTTAAGCACAGGCACCAAAAAATCAGACGTTAGCACCTCTTTTTACTTTGAGATCATTCTGAGGTTAAATACAGATTTAAAATCATAACAATAAATAGTTTAATAGCTATTATACAGTTTTTGAAATCGAATATTTGCATAGTTATGACAGGAAACAATGCCTTGGAAAAAAACAGTTAATCTTAAAAAATAAGGGATATGCCTAAACCCAAATTGGAAATAAAACAGTTATGGAATAAACATGTGTCCTAAACAGTGTTGGGGAAAGTTACTTTTAAAAGTAATGCATTGCATTACAATATTGCATTACTCCATAAAAAAGAAACTAATTACGTTACTTAATTACTTTTTATGGAAAGTAATGCGTTACGTTACTTTTGCGCTACTTTTAAAATCTGGACAGGGCTTGCTTGTTTGTTTTTAATATAAAAAAGTTCTATTTTTGGCAAATATAAAAGC